TCAGCAGTGAACTCCTCACTGCTTCGGGGGTTGTCAGGGGCGAGAATCCCTTTTCCTGGGGTAGGGTGAGCCACGTTAATTCACATGCTGTACTGTGGCCTCCCGCACCTTTCCCGCAAGTTGTATGAAAGTCTGGTAATAAAGATGCATGACATGAATTATAATTTTTAAATGACCCAATGATCATACTTTATATTAGGATTCTATTTATTAAGACTGATTCATCAATCTCATCAATCTGTTTCAACAAGCAGTTATGCAGTCTAAGAGCTCAAAAAATTAGTTAATGCTATTGACAGTGCTATTATGCTGTTATGTACTACACAAGATGTCAGCCATTCAGTATCTCTTCTAAAAGACATTTATAAAATGGAAACTACATGTATGAAGTATGACCAATCCATCCATGCCCCAGCTCTTAAGTAAAGACTTCATCCAAATAAATTGTAGTCCTATACAAGAGCCAATTCCATTTCTGTCCCTCAATCAGCCCAAAGAGCAGGGACACTACAATAAAAGTTGCCCCACTGCTGTCAAAGCTACAGTTCTGCAGAAGACATACTGAGGGGGAATTCCTGACCCTGCTCATGGCAACAGGGCTGGGACATCACCTTTGAAGAAAGAACTGAAGAGGTTGAGCACTTTCTGAAACACGGAACAGAAAATTAGTTCTCAGTTCCAAGACAAAATGCCCTGCTTCGCGCAGCCTAGAGGAGAAAGAACCGCGGATGCTCTTGGAGCGCATGAGCCAAGCCAAATGTGGGGATAAAGCGGAGTTTATAATGGAGTATCCACACTGAAAAACTGCTAAAAACAGGATCTAACTTACACTTTCGTCACAGGATAACTCTATCCCAACCACATGTGGGGATAGGGGACAGTGTTCAGATGTAGTCGGGAACAGACCTTAGAAGGTCTTGCAACTCCCCAGAAGGAGCAGAAAACGAAGATCAACTACTGTGTACTAAAACGGCACTTAAATTGTTTCAGCAAGCCAAAGACCTCAAAAATACGCTTTTAGTTCAATCTATTTTGGAATATACACAGAGAAACTTATCAGCTTTTTACTCTTATTAGTAAACTATTGGGAAATGATTTTTCTTTTTTTTTTCTTTTTTTTCTTTTTTTTAAATCTTAAGCATTAGCTGTAAAGATGTAATTTCTAGCTCTTTTGGGACTACTGTTAAGATGTAATTTCTAGCTCTTTTGGGACTAATGCTTTCCAGGATAGACCTGTGTATTCCTAATGAAGAAAATGTATATACACTTTGCCTTTAGGTGTATAATCTCTTAAAGATATGGCATTGGATAAGCAAGAAAAAACACAAGTATTCTTGGGAGATAAAAAAAATCAAACATGAAAAGCTTGCATGTTACAGTAAAAAGAAATTGTGGTCAAAGAAGGGCAAAAGGCAAGTGTAGTTAAAACAAACAAACAACTTTATTCCCCCCCCCCCCAAATTTTAAAAGAAGCCGTTAACAAGATAAAACATACCAGCACCAACGCATATTTTGGTGGAGGGGAAGTATTACCTTTTTCATAGCTGTAGGGCTGCTCTCTGCACTGAGGACTGGACTACTTGAAGGGCTTTTCTTTTCATGTGGAATGCACTTCGCCATATAAACATTGTAGTCAAGAAGCATCTTCTGTCGCACGTTGCCAGCCAGCTCCTTGTGCTTAGGCTGGGATGTGATTTCTTCTGCACTTCCCTTGCTGCTGCTCCGGCTGTGTGTAAGAGCTCCAGATTGACTATCAGTTCTATTATGCGTTGGCAAGATCCCTAAAATCAAAAAGAATAATAACTGTTAAGCAGAAAAGGAATCTGGCAGTCAAAGAGCAAAGCATATGATCAAACACTTAAAGGAACAAAATCAGCTTGCAGCAATAATTTATTCTGAAAATAAACCATTCAAAGTACCGTTTCCCATTTTTTAGACTACAGCAAATTACCATGTTTAGGTGGTCTCAAACCCAAATTAGTCAACATTTGGCATGATTCAGTGTTCAGCAGGATGTGTGACTGAAAACAAACTCAGTTGACCAGTAACACATTTACATGTGGACACTCATAAATACAATATATGCCAGAATTCCCAACAACTGTCCTGGGGAATGGCTAAGTCAAGTCTGGTGACTAGAACATACCTATAACTCAATTTTAAAAAGTTTAATTGTAGCTTGTTCGGATTAAAGAGACTGTCAAAAGGGTGTAACTATTAGAATTCTAATTACCCAGTAATTTTTCATTTGCATTTCAAGAAGTTATGCTCCAGAAATAACGATGTTAACAAGTTTTTAAAAAGCTTCTCAGAGAACAGATAAGAAAAGAAAAGTATGAGTCATTCAGGAACCAGGAGATTTAAAATTTAGCAAAGAATAGTTTTAAATTAATTTTTCAAACATTTGATTGATGTTGTAGACCATCTGACATGTGTTTGCTGGTTTAAATGTGCATTAGGATAAGACTTTGTATTTAAACACTAAAATGCGTTTTCTTGTGACATTAACCCATGCAAAAGCTCTTAATTTATCTCAACAGGAAACTGGAGCAGAAGGAAGGACGGAGGAGGGGAGAGGGGAGTAAGAGTCGAACACTGACATCAGCTCTAACAGCACAGGAGAAAAAAGACAGAACAAATCATCCTTATGAAAGTTACAGGAGTTATTACAGTCATTTAAAAATCATGTATTCACGTAAAATAGGCTCAAACAACTATTCACCAAGAACAGCCGAGTGTTTTGCTAGGTTAGCGAGTTGATCTGGTTTACCAATCAGAGGGTACCTGATTAGACACAAGGGTAGAGGAAGATCAGGAGAGAGGTTTGACAGGATTTGACAGCAGTGAGTTACTGACAGATCAGGCTAGCTTTATCTAGCTACACTTTAAAGATAAAGATAATCCTATATAATTGTTTGCTTTTTTGGCAGGGCTAGTTTTATGCCACATTAGGAAATTAACTGCTTTTCCACATAGTCAAGCAAGTTCCAGAGCTGGCAGAAGAAAGCAGGTGGCATTTTGGCCATGAGAGGGAAGGGCTGGGGGGGGAAGAAGGGCCAAGACAAGGAACAGGAGGGCCCCTTTGGTATTACACAGCTGTTAGGATCAGTACAGCTTCACAGTTGCGGTAACTACCACTGTGAAAACATAACTTCAGTTTGTTTCTTTTAATAGACACTATTACTAGAGTACAAAACATTGAATACCTGGCTTAATTCCACATAAACTGGACGGCTTCTTTGCTTCGGACTTCAGCTTGGATGCTAGAAGGAACCTCCTGAACCATTCCTCCTTCTCCCTACCTGTCCTTCCAAAGAGATAAAGCACTTGATCCTTCTGGCTAGTGTACTTTGCCCCATCCTGAACTTTCTTGGATTCTTCATTGTTCAAGTCCACTTTTTCTGCAGATAACTTTTCTTCTGCATTCTCTTTATCAGTCTGGGCCTTAGCCATGAAGTCATCCTGTCTAGCAAGTTCAATGCAAATAGGGTACTTCTTATTCCAAATTCGTTTTCGTGCCAGACTCTTGGGAACCAGGGAAATCTAAGTGATAAAGGAAAGGGTTAAATTAACTTATTTTCCAATTATAATTTCCATCACTCTATATTCATATGGAGAACACGAATGCAAGAGATAGAAATCCTATGCAGGATTCAGTGGGTTTAACCGATTTAACTCATAGCTGGTTGATGTCTAATCCACTGCAATTACCAGCTCTTTGGTTTCATAAATTCTCCAGAAAACAAGGTGAACCACAGCCTTAGAAATTTAAACAAGGATCACTCAAGTAGCTTAGCCTTCTACAGTCATGCGTGCTAGAAACTCTGTTTTCATTTCGGACACTTTATTCTCACAGCTATGCAGGAAGAGAGAAAAACCAAGAACCTTATTTCTTTGATCAGTAGGAAAGTAATGAAAGTTCAAGTTGAGTTTTAAAACTCATTACTTCTCAGGCCCACCTCATAAATTGAGTGTTTGAAGCTGGCAACAGTCAGGTCAAACAACTGTGCAAGAATCAAGGAATAAAAGTGACTTGCTCATAACGACATTTTAAGTTCAGTATATTCAGAGAGAACTGAGACAATGCAAGTGATGAGAAGAGTGGTAAGAGGTAAAAATTTTAATCTCAGGGCTGAACCTACCAATGTTTTGCAAAAACTGTAGGCAAATACCTTGGAGAACAGCCATCATTGGCTGATTACGCGCAGAGCACTTGGCACTTTATTTGGGGGAGGGGAAAAAAAAGTACCAGAAAATTTTCTAAGACGCCATGGGGAACAACAGTCAGTCAAGCGCTCTTGTAGCATGTGATAGCTTTCTTGTCTCCATTATGGGAAAACAAATCTGTGAAAGGCAGGAATCTCTAAGTTTCTGCCTCATCTTTTTCACCATCCTCCTTTAACGGAGAGCAGAGCTGACGGCAAGCTCCTTCCCCACACTGATTCAGGGAAAGGAAGGGCGGTTTTCCTCACTGTCTTTGCCCTTCTGTCCCTCTAACTTCCACAGTCGACTTGTGGGAGGAAACTGTGCTTAACCGTACCACCAAGGCCCTCTACTGATGTACTGCATTAGAAAACTCACTCTTACAATTATGAAATATTAATGTAATACTTAATATAATGCCAATGGAATCAACTTTACACTACAACTCCCCAGAGATTTGCGGGAGTCAATAACACGTATGGAAACTGTTCCAGGATTATTCTAGATGTGCTCTTCCAACTGCAAAAATCCTCTTCTCCTCCCCTAGACGGTGGGTACCACAGCGAGCGTTGTCTGTTCCAGCCACCTCACTCTCCTCTTCTACTTCCATGCACAATGCACGTTCCCACTCCAACAGTGAAATGCAAAGGTTGTCTCAACTGCCTCGGGATAGAAACACCAACCAAGAACTATGCACGTCCATGTAAGCTTCAAAACAAGCAGCCATACAATAATCTAATGTATGAAGAACAATAAACTTCCCACGTGTTAACTTCTGCTTTGAGTAGTCTGAGGAAAATCATGCTTTTCCATTATTGTGTAAATATGTAGAATTTTTTTTTTTTTTTTAAATCTTCTCAATTCTCCTCCTCAGCACAATCTTTTGCAAGTTAATCATGGAAACAATTTTGTTTACATAATGACAGCACATGAAACCAGAAGAACGAAAAAACTTAAAAGATTCAAAGTCTTTCTTGTTAGAATCACAGATATAAGTAAAACACTTTACCTTGCTCTCCATAAGTTCATAAATTTTCTGGCTGACATATGTGACTTCCGGCTTTGGCTCATTGTAAATAGCCCTTCTAGAAATATTTTTATTGGGTTTTGAAAGTCTTAAGGTGCTTCCTTCAAGTCGCACATAGACAGAGTGAGTCAAAGTAGCATGGTACGTTTCTGGATCATAATTATAAATTTCATTCATCCATCCCTAGAGAAGAAAACACTGGTTAACAGGCTCTTAAACTGCTAGAAAACCAAGTACAGTATGCACGTGAAAGGTTTACATCGTTACCTAAGCTTTTGCCAAACTCATGTCATTGTTGCACAGACAAATGCAACAAAGTAGTAAAGGCCCTGAACGAGAGCACCCAACCAACAGGGCACGAGGTGAGGACTGTGTCCCAAGCACAACGTTTGGTTTCCTAGGGGACATCGTTTCCTATCAGCAGCGCAGCGCTCTCAGCTCGCCCTCAGGAAACTCCGCAAGCTAGGAGCGGCCACCAGCTGGCCGGCGAGGGCACGCTGCCGAGCGGGCGGCCCGTCCGCTTGAATCGCCAACCATCACGGATCGGGTAGAAGGCCACAACGGAGTTTGCTTTAACGCACCATCACTGTTCAACAGCGTTCAAAGTATTGTGCCACTGCTCAGCTGCAAAGCACAAGTCGTACGAGTGGATTACACGTCATTACCTAGAGACTCGTGCAGGAAGAAAAACAGAAAACAAACCAACCCTGCTGCAACGAGCCTGTAGGTAGGTAACTCATTCCAGCCGCGGGGGTGACGTTATTTCTCTTCTCTAACACCTGACTGCAGAAAGCGCAAGAAGATAAACAGGGCAGAAGAGAAGCCAGAATATTCATTCATGGAGGACAAGTTTTCCTTCTCTTAATCTGCCAAATGAGGTACTTTATTAATGATTTCTACCTGCACTTCAAGACCTTAATCCTACATACTCAATATCCATTAATGTCAGAGTGAAGGAAATAGCCTGGTCCTTCTGAAGACAGATTTAAATAGCATTTAAATGCTATTCAAATGCTCTAGTATTCCCCCAAAAAGTTACAACTACCATATACAAAGCATCTCAGATATTACTGCAGCATTTCAACTTAAATTTAAGTTTCCACCCCCACACAAAAATGTAGAATTTATTTTATTGCTCGTTTACCTCAGTGCCATATAATTTCTCAAAGCAGGCTGCATATACTTTCTTAGATGCCATAGCAACAGCGGTTATCTGTTTTGCTCACTCCAAGACCTAGCTCCATTTTCACTATAAACCGTAAAAAACTAGGTAAATTAGTATTCTTTTTATGTTCCGTAAAGACTAAGTCACTCATCTTCGCTCAACTCCAAAGCAGGCTGCTTCTTTATTTATAGAAATACCAGTGCCAATACCTGCTCTTTGAAGAAGCTTTTTGTTTGGGTTTGTTTTTTTTTTTTTTTGCTTACGCTGGGTATATACAACTATCACATAGGAAATACAATGCAAGAGGAAGGGTTTTCTATAAACCATCAAGGTTCTGCACTGCAGGGTTGATGTTTGCTTGAGCATATTCTATTTCCATCCTAGAAATTATTAAGCCAAGACATCTCTGAGCAGTCAGCAATTAATTTTCAGCCAGGAACTCCAGCTGGACTCACTGAAGCACAAGGACATCATGCGACTTGCCTAAAGCTGCTGCAAGCTATTCACCCTGCACAGAACTAGAATATCCATACGGCCCACAGACCTCAGAAGAGACTCCCACCTGCCCTCCAGATCAGATCCCAGGGCTATTTCCAGCTCTGACGCTGAAGTCTGAAGGCCTGCAGCTAGGGCAAACGTATGGACTGAAATTTGCTGCCTCAGAAGCATATTGCCTTCTCCTGCAACAAAGTGCAGTTGAAGACCACACAAGCTGGCACAAGAGAAAGAAATACTTAGAAAGCAGCTCCTCACAGGGCTCTTAGCCACATGAGCCCCGTTTATGACTTTAATAAGCAAAAAAGTTATTTTCAGTATATGAGGATGGGAAGCCTCCTTGCATGCAGGGTACCTGAGAAGGAAGGATATGGTGTACTTGAAGTTTCTTTAATATCCTGGTTGAGATGGAACCAGCAAGAACTTTCTGACAGCAGCGTTCAGGCCAAGCAAAGGACACGTACCAATGAAGCAACGTATGATTTATGCATCTCTCTCTTGACTGCCACAGTCCCATGCTAAGAAGTGAAAATCCTATGCTTCAAGGATGGAAAGCTGAGAGTTAAGAAGACATCAGCACCTTCAGACGCAGATCAGATGCACAAACATAGCTACTGAGAAAGCCTAGCAAAAAGATTATTATTCAAGTCCTTCGTTGTCACATTTTGATTTTATCCTCCAAAACATACAGAGATGCCATAGCCACATCTGCGACAGAAAGAAACGAGGCATGGCCTACAGGACGTGACTTAAACAAGTTCAGTCAATCTCTAGTAGCACAGGGGACTCGATTCACCTGGTGGGCCATCCACCTTTCCTATCTAGTTCCTATTACTGTGCCAATAGCAGTCTTTCTGCAAGAACAATGCTGTACGGGACCTGCACAGACAGAACGTATTTGCTGATAGTCCCAGACCGAAGATTTCCTTATACTACATAATTAAACAATAGAAGGGAGACACTGCTGAGGATGGTCACAATTTTCCCAGCTGTCACAAGACAGACTGAATATAAAGGGTAACTAATAAATCATAAACCAGATTCTTCCTCAGTTTGCACAGGCCTGCTTCTGTCTCAGCATTAGCAAGTGCTGGACCATCTCACCTGCTTTTCTGATCTCTACCATGCGATCAGGCTTTCCATTTCAAATAAATGGATTAGTTCTATAATCTGCCAAACACATTTTTTTTTTTTAAAACCCTGTACTGCAGGCTCCCCTGCTCATTACCCAGAACAAGCACAAGTGCAAACACATGCTCCTTCTCCCAGCACAACCTCCGTTCACGAGGGACAGAAGAACCCCTCCGAGTTGTTTAACAACGATTTCTGGCTGCCTAGGCTACTGAACGCTCAAAGTGTAGAACAGGCAGAAATTAAACACAGTTACTGCCTAAAATAGCAGCCTACACAGCAATTTCCGCACGAGGAAGAGATTAGCTGCTTCATGTACTTGAGGGTTAGCCCAAAAAACAAAGATACAGAAAGTTAAATTCAAATAATCGGTTTTATTCAGGTAGTATCTAGCCAGTCAGTACTATAACGCTCCTTGTAAATAAATTTTGAGAGTCCTAATTTCTAAGGATGCAGTTTCCTGTTTGCACTCAACTTTTCAAGTTATTTTTTAACACAGAGAAACACTGCATGGCTCAGAGGTAGCGGTTAATACTTTATCAAACAATCATGCTTCACTATTAATGAATCTGGAAAACCTGTGCCAGCTGCAGGAATTTTTCCCCATATACCTAACAGTGCTAAGGAAGTAAAAAATACTTTCTGCCTTCCCATTTCAGCAATTTTCATTTTTGTACAACAGACTGTTTGTTTAGCATGACAGCATTTCTGAGAAGGTTATCCAAGAAGTTTCAAAATCCCTTCTCACATTTTAAGAACAATTTTAAAAGAAATCTCTCCTCCCCTCTCTACAGAAAGAAATGGAAACAAGAGATTCACAAGCTACGGTAACCGCTTTGCAGTGCCTCTAAACAGAGAAGTTATTTGAAACAGCAGTTCTCTCACCATAATCTGCTAGCAACAGATATGTTTTCCCAAACTACCGAAACAACAAAGGGTTTCCTTGTGTAGGACGGGAGAGACTGTATGACTGGGTTTTTTGGTACTAGCGAAGTTGTTAAAATAAGAATTTAATAATTCAGGGAGGACAATGACCATAGTCATATGCTACTGTGCAGCTGCTTGCTATTTGCACTGATCCTGTGATCTCCTTTAAAGGTCAGCAGCTTCTCTGAATTCACAGCTATTAGGAGGATGTCTGACTATCAGTCTAGTAATTACCCTAAAAAGCATTCGATTAGAATATTGGGCCAAATGGCTTTTATAGCAAAGGTCATAGATATTATTTAAAAAACAACAAAAAAAGTCTAACTGGCAGGACCTGGCCAGCTTGTTTAGATAGCAGAGACTGAGCCTTGGCTTTCAAAGTGCACTATGTCATCCCAGTCTCAGCAGTGCTATCAGCTATCCGAATCCTCCAGGGACACCCGGGTCTGTGCGACACAAGCACTCACGCAGAACGGCTTTAAAGGGCCTACAATGTCTTACTTTTCTTCTTTCCCAACTCTGGGCTGCAAATTTTTATTTGCATTACACTTCGACAGAATAATTCACACGAGTAAAGAATTGCACAGCTGGGCCCTGCAGAGGGTCAGCCTCTTCAAGGTTATTCAGTTCGGGTGTCAGGTATGTTATACCTTAGCATGGGAGGGGAGATGGGGGGGATTCCAAAAGGGAGTCTAGGACTCAGACTCAGAGGGCTAAGACAACACACTAGCTCTGCAGAGAAAAACAATAAAATAAAAGCAGTATTTCTATATTACCAAACACACAGATGAAAGCATCAGCCAGACAGCTTTCACACTGCAGGCCCGGAGCTGGGGTGTAACCGCCTCCAACATTTCTTAGGGACAGGGACAGGCAGGTTAGGAGCCATTCGCACTAAGCGATGCCAGTAAGCTCCAGCGCCAGAATTCTGAAACTCTCGCTAGACTGTAGATCACGCAAACCTAGGAGTATCCCTCATTACCCCTATTATTTTAAAATACTTCAATAGTATTTTGCTTGGTAAGGGGGGAAAAGTATATAGCGTGCTATATAAATGCATTTTTAAGATTACATTGCAGACCATATTCAAAAAGACAAAAAGGGCAGAACGTTCACCGACGTGGAATCTAAAGACTTGTGTAAGACCAAAAACACAATTTTTTTTTTTTTTTTAAAGAAAATACCATCGCCTTAAATCAAAAATACATTTGTCTGCCAGAGGCCACTATCAAACATGAAATCCCTTGAGCGATATTCAGGAAGAACCGTCTCTTTCTGTACAGCTAAGGTTCAGAAAGCTTCGCTTCTCCAGCGGGCACTGCCAACATTGTGCACGTTTCTGCTAGTAAGTGTGTTTTGTAATGGAAAGGGTAGATTAATCATTTCCATTTTAGCTGTTACTTAAAACTTATGCATCAGCCAACAGAACAAGAGAACACACACTCAGGAAGGCCAATAAGGAATTTAGAAAAGCCTAACGCATTGAAGAAGGGAAAACAAATAAAAAGAGAAAGAAACCTGCTGTAGGCATTAAAGAAGAAAAAAAACTCTGAGCAGACCAAAAAAAGGAAGAGGAAGCTAGAGAAATAAAGACTGCAAGGGAGCAAGAGGGTAACAACGCACTGAAGATGTACTTTTTTTTTTTTAAACAGTATCAAAGTATCTGAGTGAAATAACGAAGTGTAAGAGGCATAGAAATTGAAAAAAAAATGTAGTTTGATTCAAATTAATAGAAGCACAGACTAGCCAGCACAGAAGTGTTCTGTTCTTTCATGTTGCAAAGGAACAGTTCTGGGGAAAACAATGTTCGTGTTCAGGTGTTTTGGCAACCGCTCAGCAGAATTTTCCACTAGTTCTTGAAATTCAAGGGAAACACAAACTTCTCAATATTTATACAGGAGAGAACACACACGTGCTTGACAGCAGTTTGGCAGAATTCCAGCTTCTAAAGCCCTATAAAATTGTCTTTCTTTTAGCATTTATCATCATTGCATAGAATCAGTTCAGGCCAAAACGCAAGACAAACGAGCTCTGAAGGGAGCATCTTTATGCAAGAGTTAAGTTTTATTTTCCTATATTCATGTTAGTTTTGTTACAGATTAAGTCTTTATCTCATTCTGCAGAGGATCTGAACTGTCCAGTGCTCATTTTGACAGAGGCAAATGGAAAATATTCATATGAGGGTGGAATAACAACTTGCATGCTGCTAAATCTTATTACATTATGTTCTACTTCAATATGGGCACTACACTGGGTTTTAAACTCCCGAATCATCAAAAAGGCCTTTTATTAGTATATTAAAAGACAATTACTTTATGTGTTAATAAGCCTAAGAAATACTTATCAGGCCACACAAAACAAATCTGCGTTCATACAGAATCCTCTGCAGTTATTTCTTGCCTTCAACCATTCTCTTAGAATATATCTTCTGGATAAAAGCATTAAAATATGGTTTAAAGGAATAACAGCTAACATCTCGAAGAGCCAGCTTAACATCAGCCAGCAACGAGCATCAGGGACTTTTCAGCTTCAGAGCATCAATGCAAATATTTATGAAGGGACTCAGAGTCCAATTGACAAGGACAGAACTGAAAGTTTGTCAAGATGTTTACGTACAAGCAGCAGGTAAATCAAACGGACAGGCAGGATTGTTGAGCCCACGTTCCCTACAGCCAGTGAAGACCGCCACTCGTGCCATTCAAGAACAGGGAACGCCAAGGTAGCACATGGGCTGGGCATGCAACTGCTGCCTGTGCTCAGCAAAGTTGCCAATTTTGCACCCCATTCCTCTACAAGGAGAGATTCACAAATGCTCCGATGAACAAACATAACAAGAGACCACCTATTTGCTTGTGCAATGTGAACTACACGTTGCACAGTTGCAATGAGAACTTATATTTCAGTTATAAGAGTGGAAATCAAAAACTATGTGCAAGCGTGCATGCTGGCATACATGCTATATACAGTGGCACACACAGATAGGACCACTGGAAGTCAGTAAGCAGTCTTTCTGAAATTGAAAAGAGTTTTCAAAAACAGTTTTTACCCCTTACGCTCTCTGGGGGCCATGGCATTAAATAGCAGTCTCAGCCACCTAGACCTGGGTACTTAAACCATGTTCTACTCCTCCATGTTTTCTTAACCATACCAAAAGCGGACAAAGTACAGCAGCTTGCCACTGCATCTGCCAAGATGCATCTCAGGAAAAAGATCAATTATAAGACCTTCTATGTTTCATTCCTTTGCAGGAGTCACTGCAGATCTCTTTTGTGATGTGGCAAAATGCCTTTCATCGCTGAAGTTAACACAACTGTGCGTGCTGGTTTGTGGATTTTAAGTTTGTCTGACAGAAGTTGTCTGACAATTCTTTAACTCATGAGTTTTTCTGCCAGTGTCTTTAAACTTTAAATTTTTTCATTAACAGAACAGACTCACGTTCTGCTAAGAAAAAAAAAAAAAAAACAGAAATTAAATGGTACCAAGTGCAAGTTGTGTCACTATCATTCTGAGATGCTTCTGTTCACATAAGAAACTAGTAGCTGCTTTACTACAAAGCTCTACAATAGGGAAAATACTATTTTAATTTGTCAGAGACAAAGAACAAGTGAGTCGGGACAGGGTAGGGAAGAAGCACAAAGCTACTGAAGTAACTGAAGTGCTCTGCTCATGTGGGTCACGACTGGACAGACAGCAGCATGCTAGGTATACCGAGCTACAGCAGCTCGCAGTATCTGAACAAGAAGTGGAGCTAGGGGAAGAGTGAAGAGGAGGGAGGAGACATTTTGTAAGAGCTTGATTTAAAAACCAGCTCTCAGGCACGCATTTTAGTGAACTGTAATCCAGATTATACCACACGCCATTCAAAATGTCAGCGCACAGAACCACAGACATCATAACCGGTGAGTATGTCCTTTCTCATCACTCACTCCTCCTCCCATCCTCATTAGGTAATGCTTGAGAATAATCTGTACGCTCTCTAACTCTATGCTTTACTTGAACACAGTGCTTTTGAAGCTTCTTGATTTAACAGACGAGACAAATCACTGTCTAGGTGGTAGAACACCCCAGAACAGAACACACCTCCCAAGAGGCAGCTTCAAGCACAAGTGTCGCTTTCAGTAATTGAGCAGGATCACTTCAAATCTATCAGCAAAACCATTTGCCCGTTCCTTTTTTAAGCAGTTATTCTGTTTTTCCTTGAATCTGTAAGGGAGTTGAAGTCTTATATAGTCTTGGACACCAAATCATTTCTCTCCCCGCCAAAGCCTCTAAAAAAGGCTCTATAACAATACTCTAATTACAAACACTGGTAACTCAGCTGATTTGCACCTTCGGAGCAAGTCCTCTGCCCAGAACAACACAGACAGACAAGCACACACAAAATGCCATGACCTCACCTTCAGTATTTCAGGTTCTTCGATGTCTAGAGCTCCTGTATTCCATTGCTTTCTCAAACTTTTATGCAATCTGAGATATTCAGGAGTACTTGGAGTAAGAAGCCAAATCACACAGATAGCTATCATAAATCCAAGGGCAATTCCAAATAAGAGTCCACTTAAGTAGCCAGGGAGAGGGATAATAAAATAAGCATAGACTAACAGCGTTAAGAAGTACAAAGTTTTCACTGGTATTTTAGGCTGTTGCACATATAGATTATTTTCTTCTTCACTACTGAGCATAGTACCATCTTCCTCGGTCATCTCCGGATGAAGCAAAGTTTCAGGAGGTTTATCAGTTTTGCTTTCATCCTCTAACAAGCAAAAGTCTTCAGAATAAAGTTCACAAAACTCCTCATCCTCTTTGCTTGCTAGTGCAGACAAGGAACATTTTTCAAGTACTAGTGAAGTTTTCATATTCATGTCCTTTGTGCTTGCAGGCTGAGAGCTTTTGGTCTCAGTCTCTTTTGCATGTTCCTCAGCTGTTTTTGACTGATCATTCTTATTCAGGTTAGAGTCACTTCCACAGTAGTCCCCCTCAGAATCACATTCTTCTTCCTTAATGCTGTAGTTGTTATTGCTTTCCAAATGGCCATTCAAACTGGAAAGGTTTGAGAGTTCTGAAGCACTTGAAGATAAGGCTTTGGGCCTGTGGCTACTACTTTCGTCACCCATTATCTTACTGAGCAGCTGAAAAGGCTCATAGATCACTTCAGAAAGGCGTCTTTTAGTATCTTCAATTTTAGCCTCCATCTCAGGTACTTTAAAAAAGGAACGAGTGTCAGAAGGAGATGTTAACGGGGATGAAGGGGCAGTTTTAGAATCACCACCCGTAGCTCGAGGTTGAGTGAACTGTTTGAAGAGATGCAAGTTCAGTTTTGAGTCTGGGGGTCTGTAAGACACAGCTTCAGATTCTTGTTTAGAAGTGTCTGTAGACAGAGATTTCACTAAGGTTTTCATTAAGTGTCTGTGTCTCATCGGTGGGGTGGGCTCTTTTGGTTCCACATCTGTTGAGAGGGACTTGACTAAACTCTTAAAAGGCTTTGAGCTGGAAACTGTGGATGATGCACTAGAGCAGACAACTGATCTGGAAGGGGACGAGGATGGGGAAGACAACAGGCTGGCTTTCTGTTCCGCAGGTGCTGATGCGCCTGATAAGCTAACTACATGACATGAATGTGATGAGGGAGACAGGACTAGTGGCACTGCACTGAATACTTGGGATATGGAAGGAGAATCCAAAGGCTTTACAGCGTCTGCAGTTGGCAGAACTACAGGTGATGAGGACAGCAGTGATGTGGCATTGGCCACGTTAAGCGAGGTAGCTGGACCAGAAATATCATGGCCACTATGCTCAAAGCAGAGGTCTTCCTTGGCTTCAAGTGCTGTTACAATGCTTTGGTCATCTAGTTCCTCATCAAGAATCTCCTTAAACTCCTCTTCCTCCTCTTCTTCCTCCTTCCCAAATGCAGAGAAACGAATAGTAATGGTTTCTCGGGAGACAGATCGTTGGACCTGTACTTTTGGCGCTGACGGCTTTGAGGACATTTCACCAGTTTTGTCTGCATGGCTACTGTTCTGACTTGTCATTGCAGGTCCCAGAGATGAGTCAGAATCTGTGGGGAAAACGCAGATCCAAGTTAAACTCATTTTTCACCCCCGCCAAACATCCTTATTTTCAAGTTTTAAGACAAATACCAGAGATGGGTTATATGCAACAGGTCTGTCGGTTGAAGGAAATAAAATACTCTGGACACTTTTCATCTCGTTTGATTTAAAACTGTCTAGTCAAATCAGGGACTGTTTTAAAAAAAGACCACATTTTAGTTAGTACCCCCTTCACATCTATTTTACTCTCCCTCATTATTAGTATCTCTGAATGAAAGAAGGGATTCAAAGAAAGACAAAGGGAAAAAATTGTTCAGAACGATGAGGAAACAAGGACTGGAATGGAGAGCATTACCAGACCCTCTCAGATGATCTTGAAGAAAGAATCTGACATGATTTTAGGTAGAAAGAAAATATAAGCAGAAGATCATCATGCCCAAAATTGTAACAGGTTACTGTTTGCCAGCTAATATATTTCCATACAGCACAAAAAGGCAACATTAGAAGTGCTGCACTGTTAAAATTACCTTCAAGTGTTCTGAAATCATAGATCATCCCTGATGTGCCTCTTTTCTGTTTTCCCTAACAGCTGCACTTCTTAGTGAGTTCCAGAACCCCCATCCCACCCCGGGACATGGAAATTCTTCACTCCTAACTCTCACTTGCTTCTACATATGTTAGATCCTACTTTTTTTTCTTTGTTTGTTTTGAGCAAAGCTTGCAAACTCAAAGCAAGGACAAAAACATGTAAAAGTTTCCAGGTAGAATTCATCGTTCCATGCTTTACAAACTATGGACAAATGATCAGGATACACAACAGTCCAATAACTGCAGGCAAGTTAAGGCATAATTGGACAGAACTTTATTCTGCAAGTTACCTTGTAAACACCGAGAATTCCAAGACTAGACACCCTTTACAAATATATTTTAGCAGAACCCCTAGTGCAATAAGATGAAGTAGCTCCAAACACCACAATAATGGGCAGCATCAAACCAATAGTTGTCAAAAAAAACAGGAATCAGTCTGGACTTGTGTCCAAATAGGGCACATTTGAGATATATGGCAGACAATATATATATATACACTCAGACAAAGAATTCACTGCTGCTAGCAGTTTTGCTATAAGAACGTGCAAGGACACTTCAGCAGAGGCAATAGTTCTTCTCATTGACATAGCAATAGTACTTTTTCAACATACTGAGCTCTTCAGTTCAGCGCACACGGGATGCTAGGATAAATATGCTAAAATATCTGCCTTTTATGGTCGTTTTCAAACATTTCATTGACCCATGAAAGTGGACTCTCGATATAGTTCCATGGAGAGGAAATATTACACATATTCAAACCAAGGCACTAGTGGCCATTCTCAAAGATGGATCAGGAATTACAAGACAAGCTCTGCCTTTCTGGCTGTGAGGCAGCACTTTATCTTCACTGTCAAGACAGCAAGTTTACCACTTCAGTAACTGAATTATTTTTCAGGAGCTGTTAAAACGCTATAATCAAACCGTCTAACAGAATTAATGAGAGGCCTTTGTTGACATTTAAAAAACAGTTCAGAAGAACGATTATGTGGTGATGAAGAAACACGTACTTCACAAACAGTTGTGGTATCAAAGATGGTATTATGCAGAAAGCCAATGCCACCTGCTTGTCATCATTTTCCTACTTAAAGGTTGTAGACCCTCTTACTTGCTAGTGGAATTCGTCATGTAAGCATTTTTTAACCTGCGCCAGTAAAGGAGCTGGGTTAAACATTTTAAAATAGCAGATTTTTGCTACCCAGCTCATCCAGTATAATTGGATCAAAAGAGACCATCTGTCCACAACTTCCTACTCAGTATGGTTGTCCATTTTGTGGCTTCTAAATTATTGACTAGCTTATTCCTTGCTTCTTCTAGCATTCACATGCTTTTCAATAGTTGTTCAGAAGGAGTTGGATTCTATTCTGCTTCAAGCAAAGTCTCCGGAAATTTTAGTTCCACTTTTCAGTTCAGTTTTACGGCAAACCTCAGGGAGCCAGTTTGGGCTCAAACAACCAAAACAAGTTTTCAGAGCCTAGCCACATTTTCCTCCACTTCCCACCCGAGCAGCTTGTCACAAAAATGGTCGAGACAAAATACAAATGCTACACTGCTCGCTTTTCAGATCAATTTGTCAAGAAAATAGCAATTTGATTGTTAACGTATCATTCAACTAACAGCAATCAGCACATACAAAGGTATTGTCTAGAAACAAGCCTAAGCTATGCTGCAAGAGCAGCATTCTAAAAACACTCCCAGCTCTATCCAAAGTGACCTGTTTTCCCAGGACACCCTTTTACACAAACAAGCTGAAAGTTAATTTCCAAAGGGCTCTATGCTGCTTCAGAAAACAAGACCAAGACCAAATACTATTTCAACTGAATATCCATCTCCTGGTCCTCCCTGCCCGTTCTCCCTGCGCAGACCTATTTCCCTTCCATTGTACCATCCCTAGAGTTCACCAGACCTTTCCACGTAGGATTAGAAGCTCAGAATACACCCTTGCAGTCAGATCCCACACAAGAGCATGGTTGAAGTCTTTATGACAGTTCAGTGATTTGAGTTGTTTGCCTAGAACGCAATCAAATTCATTGACTTTTTTCTCTAGGAAAGATTTTTCTAACATGTGCTCCCTCCTAACAGCTAATGCACTGAATATACTGAAGCGTTTTTGAATAGGCTAGAAGAGACTGAAAACATCCAGTTACTCTATTCTGCATTAATTACTAGCTAAGCCAGAAAGACTGTGCATAAACGTGCATATGACTTGACCCGGTACATTAGCTACCCCACTTGGAGCAGGAAGGCCAGGCTTTCAGTCTTTGTTCCAGTTAGTATCAACTGTATTATACACATGCACGCAGGCAAATCAGAAGATAGCGAAGGCAGTATGATCTTCATCTTTCTCCCAAAATGAAGCCAGAGGTTTGATACAGAGATCTAATCCAAGACTCTGAATTCTGATCAGAGGCAGGCAGCTCCTTCCTAGCTAAAACAAGGCACATAAATCTCAGAGATAAGTTCTATTTAACGCGCCCTCTTCTACTTGAAGTACCATACAGCCATGTGAAGCGACTTCTTGCTCTGCACCACGGCCTTTGCAGATTCCTTCTTCGGCAACTAATTCCTCCCCACACCCACTCCCAAGTTTAGCACCTAACAAAAGACAGGGACTCCAAAAGAAAGCAAAGCACACCGAAATAAGGCGTTGCAACGCTGAGCATTTTAGTGCCTAACCTTAAATGGATGAAGCCTAAATGACTGAAGCAAAACTGACTAGATGAAAGAAAGTTGGACTTAATACTTGCAGTTGTCGAAGGATTTTCACCGTCAAAGATGCTAGTGGAATTTCCTGCCTCATATGTTATCAGAGACCTTCAAAACTACTTGGGAAGGCTTTCAAAACTCAAGCAATAGTAACTTTAACTTTGTCAGCTTCAACATGGCAAACTCTGGAATGAAAGAGACTGAAATGTAGCAAGACAGATCTCAAATTGCGACCACGTTATCTTGTTCTATTGCACTTCTCTGCGAGACATTTCTGACCACCTTTCCAAGCTAAAAGTCATCCTAAACTGCCAATAAATGGAATCTTTTTATACTAAAAAAAATACTGTGCAACAACCCAGGCAATCTTTTGTTAAGGTATACTTTCAGAAGGCACAGTAAATACTTTTTGGTCTTCACTCTTCTATATTACTAGCATTAGGCTCTTCTCTGCTCTAAAATACCAGTTTTTCTCCTTAAAGGCAGGGACAGTTCTATTTGCTCTATAGAATATTATTCTTATAAATAGATAATTATATCTATTATCTGTTTATAAGAATAGAATGAGCCACTATCAGGGAGAAAGCTTTTTTTTTTTTTTTTTTTTTAAAGCTATTCCAGCTGCAGAAACATCCATATACCAGGCAGCTTCAATTCCTGATGGGACAAGTGCTCAAATTCTGCTATTTACCCCGGCCAGCAGGTTAGAAGCTACACGTTTCTGCCTCAGGATCAGACCTGTTTTTAACTTTCACTGTGGCACTGTTTTCTTCTGTCCTCCCAAAAGCCCCTCTGACATCTCAAAGGAGAGTGAAGAGTAACTAAGTGAAGAACGTCACTGCCATTGATGGAGCTGTACCTCTAGTCCACTTAGGACTTCTTAAATTGTTAGCTTTCCTGCCACTTCTGTGGGTCAAGTAGTTATTTCCCTAAAAGGTATGAACTCTCAGTTATTCAGAAGTTTAGATATGGATTAGTCAGTCAGACGTATACACAACTTGGCGAGTGCTGTGGTTGGTGAGACACTTGGTCTCTCACTTTCCTGGTGGAACAGCACACTCAGAGCCATCAGCACAGAGAATCCGTTGGCATGGTTACACGTCACAGTTCAGACAGCAGATTTCCCAAATTCGTCAGCCAAGCGCACCAAAATTTATTTGGGGGGGGGGGGGGGGAAAAAGAAAGATATGTATCCAATTCTATATCCTTTTCCCTAACGCTGGACCATCAGCTATCACACATCTGTACTCTAACGTTCTGCGCCAACTGTGAAAGTACAGGAGCACCAAGCCAAACTTTGAAGGGCAGGGAGGGGGGAAGAAACACACACAGACACCCCCCTCCCCAGGTGTTCCTGGTCATTCAGCCATTTACAATACTAAGGGGGGGGGGTGGAGAGAGAATACGCAAGAGCTGTGCTTCCTCTGGCTTAGCAATGATGCTACTGAAAGGGCTGAGCCCATTCTGCGCTCATCTTGGATCAATAATCCAGCAACGCAGGAGATCAGTATTTACTACTACTATCCCTCAACAAATAACATTTCTGATTTGTTACTTTTGATCAGCCAGAAATTCACAAATTTGATTAGATCTTCAGCATACTATATTTACTCGGCACAGTTAATTATCTTGCATTTAAACAGCAGTTGCCAATACATGCAGTGCTAATTACCTGAAACAGATAAAGTTTTCTTGCACACACCAAACATACTGGAAA